CTAGCAACATATACCACTGACCATAGTCCGCCGATCAACACGTTCCGTCAGTGATACTCGCCGCGAGCGCGAGTATGTCCCTCCACGTGATACCGTCCCGACGTCCACACAAGTTTTTGCACGCCGCTCGAATTGCATCTAGCCCCTACCAGGCGCTCTGCAGATGACCCAGGATAACTAGCTCTATGGACTGGCGTGACGATGATGATGATGATACGCTCGTGTGTCCGACAAACTCCAGCCCAGCCGTCATCACTGACACACCGTACACTGACGCGCTCGGACGCGAGGAACACGGCTCTGCAGCCATCCACTCAAATGTTCGAAACGCACGTGTGCCATGCGCAATATATCTTAACAAAATGTACACTCAGGATCAGTTTTTTCTATTCATAGTAGTGTTGTTTTCTGTAGTGTTTTATTCACTATGCATGGCGGAGGGGTCGTCTTGATGTTTTATGTTGCGTTTGTTTCAGGTGTTATTTTTTTTGATATTGTTGTTGTTATTTTAATTTTAGTTATTGCTGTTGTCATTTAACTGTATTAACGATCATCATGATTATTATCATTATATTATATTGGTGCAGTACCACTGTGTTATTATGTGTTATTAGTTTTTATCCACTATTATTATCATTGATAATATTTCTGTATTACTGTCTACCCTATTGTTATTATTATTCATTGATTATCCTTATCCATTAGTACATTAAGAGAGTATTGTTGTTATGTATAATTTTGTCATCTTTGAACTAATATCAAAGTACGATCACTGAACTCAATTTGGGTCGCATGTCATAGTACTAATATACAACTCTACTCGGGTTCGAATAGTCATGTATTCTCGAAGCATAATTCCCGAGCATCTGCCAGTTACGTGCCGTGCGTGCTATGTCTCATCGACCAACTTTTAAGCGAGCCATCACGAACCGCGTCTCCGTGTTGTCCGCTCGGTGTATTTAGTAAATAAGTGAGGTGATCAAACACTAAGGCGTAGAAGGGCTCAGTTTTATGGTCCCGGCTTCTTGCGGACCCGATTTCTCAGTGCATTGAATATACCACTCCCGATTATAGATGCGCATTTAACTATCTGCATTGCTTCAAACTGTGAATATATTCACACCCTCTTATCTCTTACAACTATATCATTCTGTAAAGTGAGATTATAAAATATGATCACACTCTGTCGGAAATCGCGATGTGACGTACTCCGAGTGCTTTATTATCCTCCTCACTAGTTATCATCAAGGGACCATGATCCCTGAGTACAATACATAATCGTACGATCTCTCCGTTGATGAGATCCTCATCACTTTCCCTCATTTGACATTTCCGTGTGTTTTTCCTCTTGATGCCTCACACTTGTCCCTCCAATTTTTCACTCAATCCAATTTTACCCTTATTTGTTCGCCAGGATCGTCCTCACAACTTGTTCCTACATAACTCTCACCCATTACATTTTGCCGTGCTTTCCCCGATCCTCACCCTTTTTCCCTGGCACCCCTCTCCCGTACCCTCGCCCTGGCCACTTCCCTTCACCTTTCTCTCTGGCCCCCTTTTCCTCACCCCTTCCTGGGCACCCTTCCCTGAGCGTCATCACTCATCATTATTGATTAGAGATGATACCGTCCTGCGTAAGCGTCCCTCTGATACCATACTTCCTCACCCTCTCCCGCCCCCTCCCCTCACCCTTCCCCTTGGGCCTGTGATTATCGTCCCATCGACTCATGCCACCTTCTTCGTAGGGCAGCCCTGTACGCAGTAAGTTTTCGACAAGGTTACATGTCTTTCAGCCTGTCCCTCGCAGAGGCCTCTGTCCTATCTCACCTCTAATGCTATCTATATCACCTCCGCACATCAGTCTTATCTCGGCAGTACCCACACGTATGACTGTCTCTACGCCATGTCAGTTCCCCAGACCATGCTTCTCTAGACATATCACCCAGCTACCTCGATAGCCGAATCGTTCGCGGTGTATGCGGGGCGCGTCTCAGCAATTCTCAATGTATACTGACTAACAATTCTGGTGCAGCCATTAGTCTAACACACGTTGCCCTGCCCTAGCACAGCGGCCCCTATATCCCTCACCTCTACCCTTGGTACAGCGACCCGACCCCGACGCGCCTCACGGGCCTAACGACTCTTACTCTACAGGAGTGCACCCAAGTCCCCGACGCGCATTGTAGCATATCATTCCATCACCCCTTCCCTGGCCCTTCCCTCCCCTTCCCCTGGGCCCCTTCCCTCACCCGGCCCCTGGCCCCCTTCCCTCACCCTTTCCCTGGCCCCTTCCCTCACCCTTCACCCTCGGCCCCTTCCTCACCCTTCCCCTGGCCCTTCCCTCACCCTTCCCCTGGCCCCTTCCCTCCCCTTCCCTGCCCCTTCCTCACCCTTCCCTCCCTTCCCTCACCCTCTCCCTGGCCCCTTCCCTCACCCTTTCCCTGCCCCTTCCTCACCCTTCCCTGGCCCTCCCTCACCCTTCCCTGGCCCTTCCCTACCCTCTCCCGGCCCCTTCCCTCACCCTTCCCTGGCCCCCTTCCCTCACCCTTCCCCTCCCCTTCCCTCACCCTTCCCCTGGCCCCTTCCCTCACCCTCTCCCTGGCCCCTTCCCTCACCCTTCCCCTGGCCCTTCCCTCACCCTTCCCTCCCTTGCCTCACGCTCTCCTCCCCGCAGGCGCTGGACTTCGCAGACCCTGAGCCGGCCCTACGAGGTCCGGTACGAGCCGTACAGCCAGAGCGTCCAGACCCTGGACTCGGTTCAGAGGCTGGAGGACCTGAGCGCGGCGCTGGGCACGGAGGTCTCGCGCCTGAGGAACGCCATTCAGAAGATGAAGTTTTGAAGCGACCGAGAAAGAGGAAGGCTCTGGAGTGACCGGAGAGAGAGATGAAGTTTCTGAAGTTTCTAAGGATGAAGATGAAGTGTCTGGAGTGACTGAAGAGAGAGGAAGTTTCTGGTGACAAAAATGCAAATTCTGAAGTGGCTGAGGAAAACGAAGATTCTGAAATGATTGGAGAGACATGAAGTCCTGAAGTGACTGAGGAAGTTGAAGGAAATGAATGTTGTTTTTTGCTCTCTATTACGTCATTGTCATTTCATTTTGTTTTTGTGAGCTAAGAAAAAACAAACAAACAAATAACGACAGAACCTCCTCATCTCACTCTTATTCCACAAACATTTTATCTATTTATCTATCTATTCATCTATTTTCGTCTTCGCTTACAAATTTCGTCACTAGGATTCAGCGAAATGGAAATTTTTGCCTTTTTATTCCCCGTGTTGCTTCTCTGTCTGTGTAAGATATATACATAACTGTTAGGGCGGGGCAAGAATATCTAGTTATGCTGTTTGTATGGCTTACGAATACCAAAAGATAGGACTTCTTTGTTATGTTGTTTTTATAGTGAACACGAAGAGAATCGAAGGCAGAAATAAATCACACACAGACATACGTACATACATGCGCACACATAAACATATGTGTATATATATATAACGAACGCATATTTGCATATACACCTTCCCTCAGAAAGTAGGTGCTTTAAAAATTAATTGAAATCTTTAAGATAGACTTAATTAACCCATGAAATGTCAGTTTCATAATCAGATTTTTTTTTTTTTTTTTATGAAACACTGATTATAACAATAAATGTGATTCTGTAGCTACATGTAGATATATAGTGACGAAAAAAATGAACTATCTCAAACGCTTAGATTCTATATGTTAAAAATATATGATAAAAACTAAATATTTACCCAGTACCAAATGGTATAAAATCTATGTGCTTTCTCAAATTTGCCTATCATTAATGAACTAAGTTTGGTGCTTCTGAACGAGACAAAATATCATAATTGTGTCCCTCAGCAAACCTGATATATTATCTCATGCTCTCTGTCTCCTGTTATCTCGTACTGTACATGTAGCGCCAGTGTATAGCTATAGACACTGTGTGTATAAATCTACGTGTGTGTGTATTGTCTCCATTAGTTTAGAATCTTCAGGTTAACAAGCTCTTCATCATATATACACTTTCTGTGTTCCTTTCGCGTGTCTGGGAAGAATCTTTGGTAAGTCTCAGACTGGATGATATATATATATATATATATATATATATATATATATATATATATATATATATATATATATATATATATATATATATATATATATTAATGAAAAAATATAAATTGAAAAATTAATAAAGGTATCGATTTTTTTAATAAGTAATATATTTTTTATTGACTGATCTCATATCCAACTAAATGCTTATTTATGCTATATAAGATTTATTAGGTACTTTCTACATAAAAAGTGTAAAGGAAAAGATAACACAGTATGATTTAAATCAAAAGAATTAAAAACGAGGCAAGATTACCTTAAATAACAAAAAATGTGTTAAGAAATACCTGAGGAGACAAAAAAAAACTTTTTATTTCGCCGTTTTCCTTCGAGAAGAGTTCCTGCGCCGCAAGGAACGTAGAGCCTATTCGAATCACACCGGAAAACCATCCTTAGGGCGAGAGAACTTAAGAAAAGCCACTGCTTCGGAATTCAGACTTTTTCTTCTTAATATTGGAAGGATGTATGTCTATATGCTCCCGATTTTTTTCCCCTCTTTTTTTTCTTTTTTGTCTGTTTGTCTTCTGGATTTCTCTCTTCTTTTCCTCTTCTTCATTCTCTCTCTCTCTCTCTCTCTCTCTCTCTCTCTCTCTCTCTCTCTCTCTCTCTCTCTCTCTCTCTCTCTCTCTCTCTCTCTCTCTCTCTCTCCCTCCCCCCCCTCTCTCTCTCCTCTATCACTCCACCCTCTATCAATCTCTCTCTCTCCTTCATCCCTCTCCTCTTTCACTCTCTCCAGCTCTTCTCTTGCTGCTTTCCAATCTCTTTCCTCGTTTCAACCTTCCCCTCTTTCTCTCTTTCTAATAATTCACATTAAAATGACTGTTGTATATATACATTTTTAGATACCTTCCCGAAGTCTTGAGTTACCCCCTCAAATCCCCCCGAAAGAGCATGATCCTCATGACGTATCTGTAACCATAAAAAGGTTAAAAATCCTGGTAATTTTCATAGACTTTATTTTGACCTGGTCTGAGCCCTCTTTAAGCAGTCTAGATCTATCTATGTCTTTAAGGAGTTCAACATAACTTTATTTTTAGAAAATGCAACGTAAGAGTATGTCTATTATTCTGTAGTTCCATTTTCTGCAACATAAGAGTAAGTGTAAAAAAATCCCTAGCGATTTCTTTGTGTGGAGATTCACTGTAAATAACTTTTTTTGTTTATTTTTTCTATTTTAGTAATTTATTATACATCAGACATAACTATGCACAATTTATTTCTCTAGTAGGCTTAGGGTTCATCCAAGGAGCTTGTAATAGCAGAGAACCTTAGAAGAAAAAAGGTGTTGTATATTCATGAGCCTAATTGTATTTTGTATGTGATGGTTTTAGTTATATGGTGAAAATTGTACAGTAGACAGGACTATATTTTTTATGTTTTAAGTTAATGGATTACCTTCATTCATTTTACAAAGTTCATGAAGATTGTGTGTCAGAAATGTTAAGACAAAGAGCTTTGTGTGTAGTAACATGTATCTGTATATTCTCTAAAATCTACATATTTCACAAACAGATGTATTTATTTAAAAGATTTAAAGAACAAAAGAAAAGAGAGATAACACAGACGAAATAACAACGCTTATAGTTGGTTATTAAGAGGAGAGAGGAGACTTTCGGAAATATCTCATTTGTTCACTTTTCATGCAGATTGGTTCTTGTGGATATACCCATGACCCCTTCGCGAGTTCGTGTAGATGACCTAGTATTATGAGAGTTGTATGTTAAGTGGTGAATAAAGTGGTATGCACTTAAGGCCTCGTGTTCTTTTACTCTCCCTGTTAATCATGATCAGAGATTGGAATTTGTATGTGTGTTTGTGTGTGTGTGCGTTTGTGTGTGTGTCTGTTTGTGTATGTGTGTTTGAGTGTGTGTGTGTGTATTTGTGTATGTGTTTTTGTTTGTGTTTGTTTGTGTGTGCGTGTTTATTCAGAAACAAAGAGAAGAGATGGGTGGAATTTTAGAAATCGAAGAAGGTTCCCCACCATAACACCAAACAGCGTCCAACCCAACTCCGTTTCGAGCAAGTTCCCTCGACGGAAAATGCGACTGAAATGGAAAGAAAGAGTTGTATTGGACAAGGGATATCCGTATAAACTTAATGGATTCGAAATTCTTTATTCAACTTGTGTTTTGAGCTGTTGACAGAATAATGAAGCATAATAATGATCATTATTCCAAATGGCAGATGTTACTGATCAAACCACAGGAAATATTCTTATAAGGAAAAAGAATCATTAAGGATGAAATTCGTTCACTGATCATCACTGAGATGAGTCTTGAAAATATGCAAAAAAAGGAAATGCAGGCAATTAGCTGGAAATACGATAAAGCAAAAGTCACCTTCAAGCAAATAAACGACACAGAAACTGACAGCAGTTGGCATCAGTGCCACAGTTCAACCAGCTGGGCACTAACGCCCGTCCCGTCGGCCCTTCCTGCGCGCCCCAACCGCGGGGGTTCGCGCGCCGAGCCACAGGCCGTGCGGGACGGGATGCCAGGGCCGCTGCGAGGGAAGGGAGAGGCTGCGTTCATACTTCTACTTATATGCATATGAATGTGTGTAGGTATAAGGTATATAGTATATATATATTATATACATACATATATATATATATATATATATATATATAATATATACATATATATACATACATTATATATATATTATATATTATATATATAATATATATATATATATATGTATGTATATATGTGTGTGTGTGTGTGTGTGTGTGTGTGTGTGTGTGTGTGTGTGTGTGTGTGTGTGTGTGTGTGTGTGTGTGTGTGTGTGTGTGTGTGCATGTGTGTGTGTATATATATATATTATATATATACATATATAATACATATATATATCTATATAAACTATATATTATATATATATATGTATGTATATATATATAAATATCTATCTATATATATGTGTGTGTGTGTGTGTGTGTGTGTGTGTGTGTGTGTGTGTGTGTGTGTGTGTGGTGTTGTGTGTGTGTGTGTGTGTGTATGTATATATATATATATATATATATATATATATATATATATATATATATATATATATATATAATACACATACATATATACATATATATATATATATGTATACATATGTATATATACATTCACTCATTGAACAGTTTCTGTCATATCTTAATGAACCATTAGGTTTACGTGTGAAACAGAAAAAGAAAACAAACTTTCCTTTCTTGACACATTGATTTCCAAAGAAAACGAACGTCTCTCTACTACGGTTTACAGAAAAAACTATTTTCACCGGTTTGGGAACGAATTATTTAAGTTTCACACCCTTGAAGTATAAAATTAACAGTATTACCAGTCTAATCAATAGAGCATTTAAGCTTTGCTCCACCTGGATCCAATTTGATGAAGAAATCAAATTCTTAGTTAATTATATCAAGAGCAATGGTTTTACTGACAACGTTTTTTACAGGACTTAGATCATTCATGGATAATAAACTAAGCCCACCCACAAAAATCCTTACCGCTCCCAAAGAAACAAAGTTCATAAAATTACCGTATCTCGGTGATATAAGTTTTACCATTCGAAAACAATTACGTGAAATACTTAAACATTCATTCCCACAGATCAACTTCACATTGTCCTTGTCAACCACTATAGTGTCAACTCGTTGTTTAGAAAAAGAATGCCTCTGCCTTCAGAACTATGTTTGAATATAGTATATATTTTCAATTGTCCTAGATGTAATACGAGCTACATTGGGTCATCCAGACGATGGTTCAAGCATAGAATACTCGAACATATGGGTCAATCTATCAGGACCAGCCTACCTCTGAGCAGACCTTCTTTCTCTGCTGCTGTATATCCACA